GTTGTGCTCCTGCTCGAATGGAGTTGCGTGTCACCTCTGGTGTTATTTTCTGTATTGATTGAAATAGGCGTTTCTTCAATTCATTCAAATTTGCCACTGGTGTTCTGTACACCAACGTTTTTAGGAAGCTCCAAAAGAAAATATCACATGGCGTTAGGTCTGCAGAACGAGGTGGCCAAGCAAATGGACCGCCTGTGCCAAGCCAACACACCTTGACCTTATTAGCTTAACATGATCCCACTGTCCGTGTCCGCGAACTTCGTAACACCCTATATACATTTAAAGCAAAAAATGTACCTCTGTTTATTTAGTAGCCTGTGTTGATTGTCATCTACATTAAAAGAATTTATATAAACTGAAAGAAGAAAAATCTAGCACTTGGCATATTGTTTTTGAGTTTATATTAATTACAAAAGATACAGCACTTTATGACTTGACACCATACCAAAGACGATACTTTTCTGCCACACGAAAAAAGTTATTGGGATTCTTGCAGCAGTTTTGAGTTCTTCGAAATTTTAAGATATTTTGTGCGTTTGAATGAGCCGTACAGGGTGATTCACAAATGGTGAATTTTAAGAGGAGTCTTTCCTATAAAGTTTTTATCTAGGACGCTTCGTTAAAAAGATACAGGGTATTACACTTAAAAAAATATTTTTATTTTTTTTAAATAATTTAAAATCTGGTATGTGAAATAATTTGAAATTGGGCACATGTATTTATGTAAATATTGTCGAAAATCTGAAGCCTTTTTCTAAAATTTAGATACTTCAGTGGCGGAGATATAGGGTATCGGTGGCATATTTTTCTATATAAAATAGTACACCACTGCTTTATGGTAACAACCAATATTTTCGGATTCGTCTTTCAATTTTCTACAAATTACTACTCTCTTATGTTTTTCGAAAAAAGCCTGATTTTCAAGTAAAACATAAAAAACCAACTGAAAACAGTTATACTTATAAATGACATGACAAACACTAATCATTCGGTTATTTATTCGAATAAAGAAATTAATAATATTAGTCATCATTTTAATGATTTTAAAATAAAATTTAAATGCTCAAAATTATCTCAATTTCCACGAACACAGGCGCGACATCTTTTTAGTAACGAAAATGTAATTTATTCGAAATTCATTGTTGTTTGATTCTGATTCTGAAAGCATTATTTATTCTTTCTTCTAACTGCTCAGGTTAATTTGTTCACTGTATACCAGCCGTTTAACAGCACCCCACAAAAATAAATCGAGTGGGTTGAGGTCCGGTGTTTTCAGTTCGACTGGATCCGAGGGGTGTGCCACTCAGCAGTAAAACGTACACCTACTTAAAATACTTAAAATACTTAAAATTACCTTGCTACTTACCAGTAATTTTCATAATTTATTGATATAATTTCGTAATTTCAGTAATTTATAGATTTGTTCTGATACTTTTTGTAATTTTTAAATATACTTTCGTAATTTTCGTACTTTGTAGACTTTTCCACATACTTATAAGAATTAATAGACTTCTTCAAATAATTTTTGTAATTCTGTTATAATTTTTAATAATGTATGCAATTTCATAAGCCAATTATAATTTTGAAAAAAGGAAAACATTTGTTTTTACAAGTAACTGCATTTATTTGCATACTTCTTTGAAAATATTAGATAATTTTATTAGTTGGGAGTAATTTAAAAAAAAATATTTGAATTAGCTAAAATAACACTTACAATAGAGTAAAAAAACTACAAAAGCTAATAATAATTAATAAATCTTTAGGTAAAACATTTCGAGTGTAATTCGACGATAATGGTTGGTGTATTAATCCACAGAGTAATGAGTTTTCCACAATATATATTTACAGTGTGTTCCCGAATGGGGTACCGCACTTTTGTAAACTTTTTTATTGATTTTTGAGAAAAAGTTATTCTTGATAAAAAATTTTGCTTATCTTGGGAAATCATTGACAGTAATCAAATTTATAATAAAACATTCCAGGCTTCCAAAATATTTCAAAATGTGAAATTTTCCCTATGCAAAGTGCCTTTAAATTTTGTTTTCATTAAAAACTGTATTTAATAAATTTGTTCGGGTACTCAAGAAATGCTTAAATGTGGGATTTAGTAAAAAAAAAGGATACCTAATCCCATTTTGCAACTGAAAAGACGCCGCAATTTTTAACTATCTTACATACCATATAATTACTATGGATATTTCCTTATTAATGTCAAAGTCAACATATTTATTTTTATTAACTGCCTAGAATAATTTTTATTAATAATGCTAACCCTGGAGCAACAAATCTACCTTATGGTGTTATATAATCGGTGGTTTCATATCAATATGCAAAAAAAAATTTTGATGAAAAGTATACAAATGTAGAGCAGATCGCAAGCTAATTATAAAATTTGATACCACTGGTGATGTAAAGAATATTGAAAATATAAAAAAAGAATACAATGATAACGATGTTGCTACTGTTATAGTTATAAACTCTGTACAAGACAATCCAGGAAAAAGTCAGAAAACATAGATATTAGTTGATCTCATATTCAAAAAATTTTAGAATGCTACTTTAATTATAAATTGCTTGATGGAGATGATGGTCGTCGTTTGGACTTTTGTTTAACAATGGGCGAGAAATTGAAAACATATTCTTTCATCACAATATTTTACTTAATGACGAATCAACATTCACAACTAATGACGTGGTTCCCTCTCAAAATTGTAGATACTGGGCTAAAAATGTTCAAAAAAATAAATGTCTGGTGTGGCATAACGTATCATAAAATAATTGGTCCTTACTTTTTGGAAGAAAATCTTAATCAAAATTCGTATTTGAAAACTTTCAAATATTTTTTTTTTGGCAGAACTAGATAGCGAAAGGAGTGACCGCAAAAAAGCCATTTTTCGGCCTGTTTTTGAGACTTTGACAGGGGCGACAGGGAAAATCCTAAAAATATTCTAAAAATATCCAAATACTCGTCATGAAAAATGAAAATGAGCATCACTTTCAGTTTTTCGAAAATTTCCAAAAATCACCTTTATTTAGGGGTTGAAAAGACAAAAAAAGTGAACAAATTAAGAATCATCAACCGTTGTAAAACCCCGAATATTTCTATGTTATTATAAAAATAATATTATGAACGTGAAAATATCTAATTTCATATTTGATACGGTCTTGTCCGAATTGAAAATCAACCCATAATATCCCTAAAGGGGTGAAATCATCCCCTAAACGCCTACAAATGCAAAAAAAATATATTAAAAGTTACAACTATTTTCTTTTTCTTTTATACGTTTATGGTTGAACTTAGAGGTGGTTTTTCCCTCATTTAGGGATATTTTCCTTCGGATTTAGTGATTGTGAGTTATTAACGTATAAAAGAAAAAGAAAAAAAGTTGTAACTTTTAATATATTTTTAGCATTTTTTGGCGTTTAGGGGATGATTTCACCCGTTTAGGGATATTAAGGGTTGATTTTCAATCCGGAGAAGACCGTATCAAATACGAAATTAGATATTTTCACGTTCATAATATTATTTTGATAACAACATAGAAATATTTGGGGTTTTACAACTGTTGATGATTGTTAATTTGTTCACTTTTTTTGTCTTTTCAACCTCTAAATAAGGGTGATTTTCGAAAATTTTCGAAAAACTGAAAGTAATGCTCATTTTCATTTTTCGTGACAAGTTTTTGGATATTTTTAAGATTTTTCCTGTCGCCTCTGTCAAAGTCTCAAAAAACAGGCGGATTTTGCGGTCACTCTTTGAATTCAGAAGAAAACTCATATTTCAACACAACGGATGCTCTTTAAGCAAAAAATGGACAAGGAATTGATAAAGAGATTAGAAAAATGTGTGTTACTTAAAGGTTTACAAATTGAATAGGACTTGCTTCATTGTTGGTGTTAATTTCAGTTCTAATTTGTTATTTCTATTTTTTTTAATTAGAAAAGCTACTGTTATTTGGTTTTCAGGCTATTTTTATATTATATTAAATTTAAAATAAAAGTTTACAATTTTTTACAATTATTTCTATGCCGTCATACTTTATTATNTTTTTTTAATTAGAAAAGCTACTTTTATTTGGTTTTCAGGCTATTTTTATATTATATTAAATTTAAAATAAAAGTTTACAATTTTTTACAATTATTTCTATGCCGTCATACTTTATTATTTTCCCAATAAACTACTCTTCATCATAAAATTTCTCAATATTTTTTATCGGTTACTTCCATTACTAATTTAGAAACACAATTTGTTTTATTAGTAAGATTTTTACTTTTATTGTTATTTTCCACACAAATTTTTGTTATAAACAAACTAGACTGTTTTTTTCAACAGTACCTAGGTAGGTAAATGTAGGCAAAGTAGCAGAAGTTAGTCCGTATGAAATGTTTTTAATCACACCATTTTATTTAAGTACTTTCAGTAATTTTAAAGAATAATTTTAAAAATCTTTGTACTCTATCAGGTAATTTTTTGTACTTTTTGTAATTTAATATGTACTTTTTGTAATTTCATAAATACTTTTTGTAATTTTTGTAATTTACCAAAGAATTTGGTAATTTTTATACTTTAATAAATAATTTCTATATTTTTAAAGTAATTTTAAATTATAATATCTCAAACGTACACCAAACATTACTTGTGGTTTCTACAAAACGGTGCCACATGCCACACATCTCCAGAAACAATTCAATTACTGCATGAGATATTCCTGGTAGTGTAATTTCCCGTTTCGATGATCAAAATTGGCCGTCCTGATAATGTGATTCAACGCCGTTGGACTCTCTTTCGGGTTATGCCAACAATTCCACGACCATCCACTCCTTAAAGGATGAAAAACACCTGTTTTCTATTAAAATTACTGCGTGTTTGAATTTGGGTACAGCCTTTACGTCTAACCAAAGGTTGTCGTATTTTCACACACATTTTTTATTGTATTTTGATGTAAATTAGACTATACCTATCGTTACAACTACTTAAGTTATTTTTTTCTTTGTTGCAGGTCTTTGCAAAGAAGACAAGTTCCCAGTGACCAAAACACTTTGCGTGTTATGGGCATCAGATTGGAGGCGGCGTACAAGGAACCCGACTTCGACGACAATGGTGTGCCAATTCTTCTCGCCAGTCAGGAGCATACCATCCGTCTCTTTGGTGAGGGTTTCACGAGAGACATGATGATCACGTTTACTACCGATACCGGAAACTACAGCATGCACTGTGCCTTGCCAGCTGTAAGGGGTTTTCCTGTAAGTAAACAACAAGTCCTACAAAGTATTTAGAAATTACTTGGCGTATCACGGTACAATAATTCTGTTTCCTTGTTCGTTTTCTTTTTGTCTTATACCGTCAAGATATTAGAATTATTTCAAAAAGCCAAAGTATTAACTTTTGTATCGGAAAAACCTAATTGAAACAAATTTTCGTTGTGGTCCTGAAGCGACTGAAGTTAGACTTTTCCTTTAAACGTTGCTATTTTATCTGACGTATTTTTTTACGTAAAACAAAGTGACCTACACAAATTGTAACAGACAACTTAGTAGCAACGCAACGTGACAAATGCGTTATCTCATTTTTTCAGATCGAAAAGGAGGATGTCTTCGTCAATCACACTGTCAAGGTGAAAATCAACCTGCCCCCAATCCCCTTAGACACGGACGGGTTCTTCTTGTGCGTCAAACAAGGCAACTCGACCTCCTTGTTCATTCACCAGGGCGCCGAATATTGGCTCCAAATCAAAACCTACGAGAAACTTATTCCAACGTGGGCCAGCATTGTTATCATCATAGTTTGCCTTTCGTTTTCTTCCCTCTTCTCTGGTCTTAACTTGGGGCTGATGTCTATGGATAAGACCGAGCTGAAGATATTGTGCAATACAGGTGAGTTAATTTTTTATTTATAGTCCCCTGAACGAACCGTCGTATACTGAGGAACATTCATTTGTTGAATAGCCCAAATCGTGAGCCTTTTGTATAGCTTTGACTAATATTTGGTTAGTATGCTTTCAATTCTTGCGATATGCACCATCCACACCATACGCCACCTTATTTACACACGTGCGTGCTGAGTTGTTCACACCGTACTGCATTTGTTTACATTTTGTCATCGTCTTGTTGAGCTGTCTTAACAATTTTAGTATAACCACGTGGTTCTATTTTAGATGCAGTGTTATATAAATTCCGATCCACGACTAACCTTGATCCGACCAGAAGAATTATAATTGAGCATTAAAACATCAGATTTTACGGCTAGTTCTATTAATTCTCTAAAAACACATGCATAAAATTTATCATTTGACGTCGAATTGTAATTGTAATAATAGCATTAAAAGTATTAAGAGGTCTAAACAGATTTAATCATTGGAATTACGTATGTAATTACCTGCTGTTGGGGGCAATTTTGAAGCTTATTACAGCTTGACAGTGTATTTTATGCGTTGAAGTACAATTTCTCCTTCCAAAATTGTAAATATTTTACTGTTTTCCATCGCATCTATCTGATTTTTTAACTTAGCAACAATACACCCCAAGGAAAGAAAAACTAGAGCAACTTATAATACAGGGTGTTAAAAAAAGAGTGTAAAATATTTAAGGAGGTAATAGTATGAACCAAAATAAGCAGAAAAGTCTCAATAAACATGGGTCCGCAAAGTAACGGTTGCGGAGATATGGAATGTTTTATGTTTTTTAGCCCCTTTTTTTATTTTGCAAAAACGTTGTGTATTTTCTTATAATAGTTGGTTGATGTTTAGTGAAATAAACAGTACGTATTTGACAGTTGTTCTCAGTGCACAAGTTTTCTTTCGCTATGGCTGGTTACTCTAACGCAGAATTAACAGACATGCATTTCATGTATGGTCGTGCTAATGGGAACGCCACCGAAGCGCGACGTCTTTATGTTGACGCTTATCCAAATCGCCAGATTCCTTCACAACGCATGTTTGGAAGAATTCACCAAAGATTGCGTGATACCGGTTCCTTGAGCAAACAGTGCCATTTATCCGGAAGACCAAGGTCGGTATCCACTCCTAGAGCAGAAGAAGAAATTCTAGCACTGGTAGAGCAGAATCCAGGTACGAGTGTGCGGAGAATATCAGCCGAGGTAGGAATTAGTGGTCCTCTTGTTTGGAGAATCCTTCACGAGCAACTGCTTTATCCATACCATGTGCAACGAGTACAGGCCTTAAATCCAATAAATGATCATCAAGCACGTTTGGTTTTTTGCCGCTGGTTTCTACGTCATGATGCTGAAGACCCTCGTTTTCTTGCAAACATTCTTTTTACTGATGAGGCCGGGTTCACAAGAAATGGAGTGTTTAATTTTCACAATACGCATATTTGGGCCGACGAAAATCCTCATGCTCTAATAGAATCTGGACATCAGGCACGTTTTTCATTAAACATTTGGATGGGTATTGTAGGTGACAGGTTTCTAGGTCCTGTTGTTTTACCAAACCGATTAACAGGCGCTGCTTACCTCAACTTTCTGCAGAACACACTGTATGAGTTTTTGGAAGACATTCCTTTGAATCAGAGGCAACAAATGTGGTTCCAGCATGATGGTGCTCCAGCTCATTTTTCCATGGCCGTTAGAGAGCATTTACACCAAACTTTTCCACATAGATGGGTAGGAAGGGCCGGACCTGTTTTATGGCCTCCAAGATCGCCTGATCTGAACCCTCTAGATTTCTTTGTTTGGGGATATTTGAAGACATTAGTGTATGGTACTCCTGTAAATAGCCTGGAAGAGCTGCAGCTACGGATTAATCAAAAGTGTCAAGAAATCCAAACCAAGGAGGGTGTTTTCGAAAGAGTTCGAATATCGTTGAGACGAAGATGTCGTGCCTGCTTGGAAATGGACGGAGGGCACTTTGAACATCTTCTGTAACTTTGTTTTTTGTTTGTTAAAAGCTTCCTTTGTCGGTTTATTCCTAATAAAATAAAATGTTTGAAAAACGAATAGTGGTCAATATCTCCGCAACCGTTACTTTGCGGACCCATGTTTATTAAGACTTTTCTGCTTATCTTGGTTCATACTATTACCTCCTGAAATATTTTACACTTTTTTTAGCACCCTGTATTATAATATCCTGTCGCCTTAGCTAATTAACATTATAACTCCCTTGATACATAAACATTCCATTTTAGGAACATCGAGAGAACGCAAGTTCGCGCAGACCATCCAACCCGTAAGGGCCCACGGAAACTACCTGCTGTGCTCCATCCTGTTGGGTAACGTCTTCGTCAATTCCATTTTCACCATCCTCCTGGACGACCTCACGTCCGGCCTCATAGCCGTCATCTTCTCCACGTTGGCCATCGTCATGTTCGGCGAAATCACACCGCAGGCCGTCTGCTCGCGCCACGGGTTGGCTATCGGCGCCAGGACCATCTGGATCACCAAGTTCGTCATGGTCCTCACCTTCCCCCTCTCTTATCCCATAGCTAAGTTCTTGGATTGCGCGCTTGGCGAGGAAATCGGTAACGTCTACACTAGGGAGCGTCTGAAGGAGCTGGTCAGGGTGAGTGATCTGTTTTTATTATTATTTGACGGCATAGTTATTTCCGGTAAAAGTTTGGTGTTTGGTTTTGAGCGGTTTTTGTAGAAGACAGGAAAGCATCTCTACGAAGGATATTTGTGCCTGATTTGAATGAAAAATATTAAACCACAGCGCCAAAATTGTTACGAATAAGCTTAGCAACTTTGACCTTGATAATATGACGCATGATAGAGAGGTTCAGTTGCTGGAGTGATAGGAGTATTGGATTGATGCATAAGTTCATTGTATTTTTATTTAATTCAAAGCTTTTTGTTTTTAATAAACAAAATGCATCAAGGAAATGTTCTTCTCCATTACTTACACTTGCCTGACAACGATCTACCAGTTTTTCTATTCCATGTCTGAACAAATTCTGTCTGTGGTTTGGAAGTGAAGAATTTTCCAAACCAATTTTGAAGCGCCACGTCATGATTTAAGTAGGTTCCTCAAAGGTTATTGGATAGAGAGAGGAAATGATGGAAATCTGATAGCAAAATCATTTGATGATGTCTTCTTGTTGTTTTTCTTGAATTGCAGCCTCAAGACTACCCAGTTGTTCGTAATAAACCTCAGCAGTGATGGTTACATTCCTCAAAAACAGTTCTTAGTAGACGACGTCTTTTTCGTCCTTCTGTTCTTGGTGTTGACGTAAACGCATTATTTTTCATCACCAGTAACAATCGGTGACAAAGACGGTTGATGTTGACGAAGACGAGATGACGAGCCAGCAGAAAGGCATGAATGTTGACTCGTCAATTTTTATCGCTTTTGTTCAAAGCAAACACCATCCTACACTGAATTTTTGAACTTGGCCCAATGGTCGACTGGACACAGATATGAATCATTATGAATTAAAGCCTTCAAACGGTCTTCATCAGATGATCTTCCTGAATGTGGTAAATGTCGAAAAAAATTGAAACAAGGACGTCATTTCCGAGCTGTACTTTTCCCAATGTCTCGATATGTTCATAAATTTTAGCATTGAGAATATTGTAAAAAAAATCGATAAGTTTTTTCCTCGAGTGTTGCTTTCGGTGTGCAGCAAAATAAAACTCTCCCTCAACGGTAAAATAAAAGTATTTTTATTGAAAACAAAGTTAGTGAAAAAGAAGTGTTGTCGGGGCGAGCGTTAGCTGGAGAGTCGTCGTGGTGTGGAGTCCCTCGCAGGTATAAGTATCTGGTCCTTGGCGCCGATCTGTCGTGGACTTTTTCCTGGAACCCTGGTGCGTCCCGCGTCTGTTCCTTGTCCTTGCAACTGTTAGAGCGGTCCGGGCGGCCTCAGGCTGGCGCTCTTAACATAATACTTAAAATTCTTCTTCTTTTTCGATATTTGAACATGAAGAAAATGTGGATTTTTGCGAAAAAAAAATTTCAATTAAAAAAAATAAAAGATGCAAAATTTATCCTTTAATTAATTTTTATGAAAAGTTGCAATTTGAATCATTCGAATCGCAATGAAAGAAAAATCCCAGCGGTTTGAACTCTTCAGGGTTTCTTTGGGATACTTGGAGATTAAAAAAAAAGAAAATGTCCTTAATCTATTAGTTATTTGTAATTATCTCAAGTTTAGCGAAAACCCTTAAATATGTAATTTTTTATCTTTTTTTTAACCAATTTTCTTGCATCAAAAAAATGTTTTTATCAAAAAACGATAAGAACGTTTATATTTTTTCTATGATCACTAGTTACCGAGTAATTAATTTATCAAAGCCAGAAATGTAATTTTAAATCATCGTGCAAAATTCTTGAACAGCTCAAAGTAAAGAGAATGAATCAAACTAAAAGTGCTGATCTTGGATCTTTTGAAAGGGAAGCTAATTTTTTTTCCGCTGAACTTCTTAAAGGTAGTCAACAATAAACATTTTTGACTTTCAGATCCTGAAACTAGAAATTTCAAGCCTCAAATTGCTTTTTTTTTCGTTGTTCTACGACTATTTTTCTCCAAACTACAGCCTTTTGAAAATTGCCTAAAAAATTAGGGATTTTTTTTGATAACTGTTCTAATCAAGGCAAGTGCCGTCTCATACGTCTTTTATATTTGAAATTTCCGTATTTTATTAAGTACTTCTCGGTCACCTAAAAATTTCAAAGAACCTCTGGACTTAGTTCTTCCAGTACTATCGAACAAGCAAGAAAAAAAACTGTATGGGACATGCCCATTACTAGATATGTCAGTTAGGGTACTACGAATTGTATAATCGGTTGAAGTTTATAGAAATTACTCTGTTTACGTCACGTTGCGGGTATGCCAATTGTAAACAACGCAAAGGTTAAGATTACGGAGGTACGTGAATCATTCATATTAATAATAACGTTCGGTATAAATGTAGATATAGCACACGCTGTAATAAACACCCATATTTATTCGTATTTACCATTTTTATCTATACGATAGAGGTAAATAGTGGGCCGATGCCGACACTTTTCGTATTTCCTGAAGAGATGAACATGCACGGTGTCCCATTTTAAATAAGGCATTGGATCCGGCTGGCCGGATCAAAGTGACCTTGCCTTGACTGGCTGGGACATAACGATCTTACTTTAACTGAATGAGGCGGGGCAGCAAACAGGGTTGTCCTATGTCGTTAACTTGATTTGACCTTGAAAGAACTTTCAAGCTTGACCTCTAGGTTATGGTCAAGGTCATCATCGTATGATCCTACCAAACCATAACTCTTTCAACTAGAATGTTTCAGCGTATGTGCTGTCCCGAAAAATATCACAGTATCTTATATTGTACTAATCATATGCTTTTTAGAAAGGTATGTACCGAATGTTTTATAAAAATGACACAGATGAACTTTGATTTTATTTATCCCTTCAGTTTTCTAAATTTTTTATTGAAATCTTTTCATGAAAAGTTATATAGTTACTAACCAGACGTTTTTTTTGAAAATCCATATACTGGATGTTCTACATAATTCACTCAGGTCTGAATTACGTGCAATTTTTTTTCTTTTCACTTTTAACTTTGTCTTTATTTATGGTATTTTAATGAAAAATTGTATATTTATTAACCAGATGTCTTTTTGAAACTTTATACTAATGTTCCACAAAATGATGCGTTTACTAACAGCTGCCTTTTTGAAAATTTACATACTGTATGTTACGTAAAACTAACCCAGGTTAGAATGGACCGAGAGTAGATATTTAGTTATCTTTTTAATTTATTTCTCGAAAAATGTTGTATAAGCCTTCTTTAAATACTTCGATGTTAAGTTTATTGTTTGAAATAGTAAGCCAATTAATTTTCCAGTGTTGAAATTGTTTACGAGTTTCCACTATCTTTATCTTCACCATGCCATGTCTTAAAAACTTTTATGCTAATTCCATTTGACTCAATCACCGTCTATAATTTATTTTGAACAAATTTTACTTCGACTCTTTACTGACGTCATCAAAGAGCCCTCTCAACAATCTTTTACAGAATGAGAGAACAGATTCCAATCACCCTGTATATTGAATTATACGCCAAGATGAAATTTTAATTGATCGTCGACTTAATGCGTTTAATCGTTATTTTTGTATGTATTGGCCTCCCAAAAAAAAATATAATAAGTCAATTTATCTTCCGCAGACGTTGCAGATGTCGTGCGTTATGAATGTTATGATGATGGTTGAGTCAATATATGAGCACGTATTTGTGTCAGTGATAAGCGTGCCCAATGAAATTCCTGGGAACATGAGTGGGTGAATACTTGATATCGTTAAAAAATAATTCTCTTTGCTAATGCCTAAACTCCACGAATAAAATGTATGAATCAGTGTATAATCTTTCCTAAGTCAGTTGTATGCATAAAAACGCCCAGCAATAAAAATTAATGAGTTTCATAGGCGTCCCTAAAAAAGTTTTTTGCTAAAGGTAAAAAATTATATAATTTGTATATAATGTGTAGAAAATTTCTATTATATGTTCATTTGGCCAACAGTATATTTTAATTATTTATGTATTCAAACAATTTTGTTATATTTATGGTAAATTTCGATTTGTTCCGTTTCAAAAGGTCTCCAAAATGCCATGTGGTAATAATATTAGTAAACAAAATATCCCTCTTATTTCTCCCTTTCGCAATTATTGTAATGCGAATGATTAATAGGAGGTGCCTATAATAAATTAAAATTACCTGAATTACACCAAATTCCGCATTGCTGCGCTGCACTGCTAGGCAATTTGTCAACCACTTGTCAACAACTGAGATTTATTGCTCAGTCGCCCAATGCGGTTGTGTTATATACGTATACATTTCTACCATTTCCACCTTTAGTTCGACCAGACCTGTGTATGGGTATGGCTAAATAAATATGGAAACAAGTTTTTCAAATAATTCAATGCCGAGTTGCTGCGTCAGCGATCGAACCTGGTACATACTGTCAACCTCTTGGTGCTTCAATAATTGAGATCGGAAATACTATAACAATTAAAATTTTTAATAACCCACCGGATTCTCATAAACACTGTTTATAAAATTATTAATAAATCTGTCAGTATGGCAGTTATTGTAGGAAGTTAATGAAACCAAGAAAGGGCCCAAAGACTAACGATCTTCAGGAGGTTGTCAAAATTAAATGCTTAAAGCTGTCTTATTTTTCTTATGAAAAGTGACTGTCATCTACGCGCAAATCTAGAAAGCTTTGGGAAACCTGCAATTAGTCTTAGATGGAAGGTTGGGGCTTTCATGATACCATGAAAAACTAAATTTGCTTAAAATAAATTCGGTAATAACTGTGCCCATAGCATCAAGAAAGGTTAAAAATATGAGGCATATCCACAGAGTAAGACTACTCAATTTTTTAAAAATCGAAACCTGTATATTTATGAAAAATTTACACTAGTTTTCCACGTAGTCCCCTTCGACCTCAATTCACTTTGTGAGTCGAGGGATGAATTTCTGGCTGGATTCTGAATAGCTGCAATTTCAATACGCCACTACAACAACAGTTTTCAACTTACTGAGACAAATGAGCGCGCGTTTTGCTCCCAA